GATAAAAATATATTAATGTATCATTTTATAATTAATTTACATAAAAATAATAAAAATTAATTTAAATTTAATTATTTAATTAATTAAAAGTATTTATATCACAATAACAATAAAATAAAAATTAATTTTTATTATTTTTATATAAATTAATTATAAAGTATATATTTTTTATACCTTAGTATGTATCATTAAAACAGAGATTAGACATTCCCTTTAAACATAAAAAAAAGGACGATATGCACTTAAATGAGCTCACACCAAAGTAGTGAAGAAATATCAAATATTGATGAAAAGAAATGAAGATATAGTGCTTGGAATAAAAGGCACTGAGAAGTCAATATTTAAATTAATTTTACAATATAATAAAATTTTAAATTTATAAAATAAAAATTTATTTTTTCATATAATTACTTTTCAAACTTTAACAAACATCCTTTAAAAAAAAATCCGAGTCATCACTTTTTTTTAGAAAGTGTCTTTTCAATGAGGTAATAAAAAAAATATTATTGAGATAATTATTTTATTTTATTTTATTATATAATTTAATTATTATTAAAATAATTAATTTTTTAAATTTAAGTAAAATTTATAATATTAAATATATTTATTTAATAATATATAAAAATTATAAAAAAATAAAATAAAATAATTTTCCTAATGGCACCGTCCTTGTCTTTTAAACAGAGGCGTCCAATCTGCAGTGACCGAACAATACTCTTTGACCACACCATCCCGTGACATGGATTCCCAAGCTAACTGATCATATAGCGAAAGGGTAATTTGGAGATTTTAAAACCGCGTGGCAACAGTAGTAGTTGCCTTGATCCACACAATCTTCATTACATTCTTTTGTAGATTTTTTTTCCAGCGAAAAGGAATTACTAGTTCATGACCATTGGTCAAGTGCTGCTTTTGCGTCATTGTTTACGTTTTTGTCTGGTGTATCATGTTTAAATGAGATTGCCAGATTGGTACCGGGTCCCAGTTGAAGATCAATAATGCACCTTTCCTGTGACACATTTTTTTCAAAAGGCACGTTGTGTTTGTTTTTGTTTTTACTTTTTTTTTTAACTTAGGAAATTTTTTAGAAAAGAGAATTAATGGTATTCAAAAAGAAAATTTAAAATTTTATGAACTAAGATTTTTTTGACAGTAAAAAATTTTAAATTAAATTAATTAATATTTATTATTTAAAAAAATCAAAATTTTAACTAATATATATTTTATCTGTTATCCAATAAATAACATAACTACCACTGACCAACACGGGGAGTGCTATATACTAACATATATATATATATTTTTGAAAGGTTATATACTAACATGTTTTTTTTTTTTGAGGAAATATATACTAACATGTTTACATAAGAACGGTATAGCCCTTAGTTTGTGTTGGACAAAATGTACGGTGTTGTGGGTAACATCTTCACCAGGAATGTGGACCCCACTCTGGGAGTGTGGTGTCCACTCTCCAGTGGACTTGACCATACTTTTTTACCACACCACCGGTCGCATTGATTATCATGATGCCATGACCATTGTCCCAATGCTGCTTTTGCGTCATTGCTTACGTTGTCGCTTTGTGTATCATGTTAAATGAGATTGCCAGATTGGTACGGGGCCCCGGTCAAAGAACAATAATGCACCTTTCCTGTAATGCATTTCTTTCAAAAGGCACGTTGTGTTTTTTTTTTTTTTTAACTTAAAAAATTTAATTTAAACAAAAATTTTTTATATAAAAATTTTAATAATTTTTAAATTGTTAAAATTTTTCATTAAATAAAAAACCTCAAGGCCGTGTGCAAGTCAATGAAAAAGTAAAGATAATATCTCCAAGATGCAGAATAAATATCACTCAATTACAAATGACTATAAACAGTCATCATCAAATATGTCCTATCATCTTAAACAGTAAAAATAATGTTGGAAAAGTTTTGCCTCGGTTGGCATGCACTTAAAATTTTAATATATTACAGTTTTGCCTATAATTCTATTTTTATTCTTTAAAATCATTCATCATAATTTTGTTTATAACAAAATCTTTCACTTACTTACGTAAATTAGTGTATATATATAAACACGTGATATTGTGACATGAATATTACAAAATAATATTTTAATTATGTTAAATTTATTTATTAATATCATAATTTAATATAATGTCATGATTTTTATATTTTCATGCGCTACTATATCTCTATTCTCAGATATTTTTCTCTGCCTCGGATTCCTTTCTCTCTTGTCAAAATCATAGTCCCGTTTTCAAAATATTAATGGAATTGCCTGCCCCTAAATCAAAACTAATTTTTGATTAATTATTTTTTAAAATTTTAAACGAAAACCAAAACCAAAATATATAAAATTTTTTAGTTTGGTTATCCTAAGTTTTGGTTATTATGAATTTGGTTTGAATTTTAACCAATAAGTATAAATTTTAAATTAATTTATATAAAAATAAATATAAATTTTAAATTAATTAATTAAAATTATTTATGTATTAATAATATTAAAATAAAAATTAATTTTAATTATTTTTTATATAAATTAATTAAAAAAATATATTTATTATATTTTTAATATTTACTCAATACATACGATACAAACCTGAAAAAAAATTTCTTAGTCAGTCAATGCCCGTGTTCTAAACTTGGAATAGCACCAAAACTCTTGGGTTTGGTGTAAACTCCAAGGTTAAATCTCAACCCCAGGGTTAGGTTATTTCAATATAAATATATCATTGTTCTCAGACGTAGGCACGCCTACCACCCCATTACGGAGCAAAAATCTTCACCTACGCACCCAAATTACCTTTGCCAAAAACCTTAACCAAATGTGCTTCAACTGAAGGTAAATTTCCACATTCGTTCGTTTGGCCTTTTTTTACGTTGATTGCTGGTCTCTCTTCAACAACAAAAGTTAATTTATTTCCTTCAAAATGATTCGTGTGCTTTTATGTCTTATTTACAATAATTTTACGTATTGTATGTGTTTGGTTTGATTAAGAATTTGTTTAACATGGTAATTTAAGAGTAGTGACTAGGTTTTTTTCTAAATTGATATACTATAGATATTTAGTAAATTTATTTATCTTTAAATAGTTATAAACTTGATGTTTAGTACTTTTTTTTTTTGAACTTTTTGTTATAGGCGGGTTTAAAACCCGTCTCAGGGAACAGATATGTATTTTTTCAACGGCTATTGGGTCACACGTGGCCAAGTGATTGATGTTTAGTACTTACTTTATTTATTTTTAATAATTTTAATTTGACTTTTTAATTCTTTTATCTATAAATTTTAGATAAAATTGTTATACAATTGAAATTTATTTTTATTTTTTAATTTGATTATCTAAAAATATATAAAATGTTGATTAAAAAAAATATTAAGTAAATTAAATATATTTTATATACTTTTTCAATATTAAAAGATTAAAAAATCTACAGTTACAGTAATGGCCTAATATTTCTTAACAAAGCTTAAAGAAGATAATACAAAATTGAATATGGTTAGACTTGTTCGTTTTAAAGTGATAAGCTGTAATCATAATTGTAGATTTTTTGATTTTTTAATATCTGTCATAACTCAAAAATTTCACCCAATTTTGGTTTTTATCTCAATTTTTACTTAGAACTTGTCAGAACTCAAACTTTACCTAGTTAACTTGAAATTTCTCCAAAAATCTTGATTTTTCTCAAAAATACTAATTTCTCAGGATTTTTAAACTTTAAATGAAAATTTTCAAAATTTTGAACTCTAAATCTCTAATGTGACATGGGAATTAATCTGAAACACTTTGTTGAGAAAAATCGAGATTAAATTTAATTAAATGTCATTTTGTACCAAATTGAAGACATTTAAAGTATGAATCTCATTTTGCAGGGACTTAAATAAGAGGCGGATAAAACGCGGGGAGCAGAGCAAATTCTGGATCGAAGCGTGGCCTTAAGGGATTACCTTCCTCCGACCGCGCGGCTGCCGTACTCCTCCGTGGGTCGGTGGGTGAGCTTAATCCTCGTAGGAACTCCGTCATACTAGGTACGGGTTTCGGCTCTCTGTTTCATTCTGAACTGCCTTGTAATTTCAGTACAAATATTGATAGAAATGTTAATTTCATCCTAGATCTAGGGTTTGTTTACGTTGAATGCACTTGGAGTTGGCTGATTTTTGAGTAATACGCATTGTGGTTGTCTTTGGTTGTGAATCTGTGATTTGCTAGTAAAAATAGTATATAAGGCCTGTGGAGGACCAACTCAACGTTAGGTTTCCTCCATTCTGGCTTAAAAAATTGAATCTGGTATCTCTGGCATTTTTTATTTTATTTTTCTGCATTTTTCTGACTTTTTTTAGTAGCCGGGAACTACATTTTTGGCCGGATTCCTGCGGGATTTAGCAAACCCCCTTGTTAAGACGTTTTTTAATTTATCTTTTTTTTTTAAATGTTTTTTAATTTATCTCTGGATCGAAGATTTCTACGCTAACGTCCTAATTGGTTTCGTAATAATTTTTTATTAAAAAATAGATAATGACTTCAAATGACATACAAATAAAATATGATAAAAATTATGTCTAATTATACAATTAAGCTTAAAACAAATTTAAAATAATTTTTATTATTTTATT